TCCATATCATTTTTAACGGGTTCGTCACAAGCACCCTTCCCCCCACCCCCTACCCCCTCTCGCCCTCTCTCGCCCCCTCTCGCCCCCTCTCCCACTCGCCCACTCCCCTCTCCCTTTAACCTCTTTTGAGCCAGGAGAAAACGGAGGGAGGGAGGGAGGGAGGGAGGAAGGGAGGGAGAGTAGGCGTGAGAGAGAAGGGGTGAGGAAGAAGGGATGAGGGAGAGAGAGAGAGAGAGAGGAGCGAATGGGAGTGAGGGTAAAGATTCTGGGATTGAAGCCTGATCGACCGTTCTCTTCCCAATCCGAAATTTGGGATAATCGAGAGTAAAATATTCCCCTCCTCCTCTCCCTTCGCCCTCCCTCTTTAGACCAAGCATCGTGCATAACCAATTATATTTCTACTCTTATAATCTTCTCCAACGTCGCCAATTATTCTCCTTCCATGAAAAAAAAACAACTACAGACAAAAAAAAATAAGAAGAATAACGGTGTCTTAAGCATCCACCTCTTCCCCTCTTTTGCGTCGATAACCCACCTGTCTTTCCCCTCTTTCCAGCATCGAGATTTCCCCCAACATTGTGGAAAATCATGTGTTTCATTGTGCTCAGGATTTGTCCGGTGTTGGGTATTTTACAAGATCTCCGTTGGTATACATGCACATACCCCTTACCCCTCCCCCATCAACCCCCCTACCATGGGCTGGGGGGTTGGGGAGTAGGGAGGGGCGATGAGGTAACAAGAATCCTACTATAAAGTGTTAGTCCACCACATATACAAAAGTGTTTTAAGGTGTCCTTCATACACGTTAAACTACGCATACTTACACTACAGTGGCGACAGGGAAGGTTGAGAAAACACCTTCGGAAAGGATGTACTACTTACAACAAAAATAAAATGTAGGTGAAGGTGAGACACTTATAAAATTATAAGTGTAGGGCGACTGTAGTGTTTCAAAGCCAATAAGCAAAGCAGGGTAGCGTGTTGTTGTTAGTAGCAGTACCACCATCACCACCTTAACCACCATCACCATCATCACACCACCATCACCACCACCATAACCACCACCACCATATCCTCGAACCGCAACCTACCATACCATACCATTACCACACGAACAAAAGAAACCCGTCTGCCGTCTGGCATGTACACACAAACACAATCACATGCTGGTGGCAGTAAAAATGATGGCCAATTGACAAACCAGAGTAAAAAAAAAAGCTTAACAAAACTAAATCACATAAATAAATAGACAGATAAATAAATAAATAAAAGGATACATCATAAATAGTTGTCAATAGCCCCACAGATCATGGTGGATGAGGTGCCAACAGGTGGCGCAGGTGGCAGTGGGTGGCAGTCGAAGGTGGGTCGTGTAGATGGGTAATATCGTGATAAATGAAGATGAAGATGACGATGACGATGACGATGACGATGATGTTGAGGGTGATGAAGATGGAGTGTCGTAGATGAAGGAAGAAGGATGGGCGGAGAATGCGTGTATGTGTATGGAAGAGAAATGGAATGAGGGAAAGATAAAAAGATTACATACATATATATATATATATATATATATATATATATATATATATAGAGAGAGAGAGAGAGAGAGAGAGAGAGAGAGAGAGAGAGAGAGAGAGAGAGAGAGAGAGAGAGAGATACAAGATGTCCGAGGTGAGCGATCAACCTAGTACACACACAAATGGGTGAGTGAGTGAACTGATTAGTACATGAGTGAGTGAGTGAGTGAGTGAGTGAGTGAGTGAGTGAGTGAGTGAGTGAGTGAGTGAGTAGCACAGACAGGCACAGCAGTTTAAAAAAAAAAGGAGAATTTTACAAGACTCTTTTACTCACGGACTTGAAGACGCTGCCCGTGTGCTGCTCATCCGTCTGGTCAGAGTCAATCGGGAGAACAGAGCCAAAGAGCGGTTAGTAGGGTGCCACGAGGGGGGAGGGGGAGGGGGAGGGAACGAGGGAGAGGGAGGGAGAGGGGGGAAAGGGAGGGGGATGGAGGAAGAGGGAATGGAGGGAAAGGGAGGGGGATGGAGGGAATGGGGGGAAAGGGAGGGGATGGAGGGAAAGGGAGGGGGATGGAGGGAAAGGGAGGGGGATGGAGGGAAAAGGAGGGGGATGGAGGGAAAGGGAGGGGGATGGAGGGACTGGGGGGAAAGGGAGAGGGATGGAAGGAGAGGGAATGGGGGGAAATGGAGGGTATGGAGGGAGAGGGTGGGGGAAGAGAAGGGGATGGAAGGGGGAAGGGAGGGGGAGGGAGGTTGGACCGGGAAGGGCAGCACTTTGAGGCGTCTGAGGATGGTGGGGGGCAAGGGAGAGAGTGTGAGGAGGGTAAATGAAGGGCGAAGGAGGAGAGGTATAGTGATAAAAAGGTATGAGGGAAGGCTCGGGAGAGGAATGGAGGGGGGGGTGAGGGAAGGAAAGGGAAGGAGGCGGTCAGCTGACAGGTAGAATGGGTGGGATGGCAATATCTGAGAGGCACATAATGGGGGGGGGACTCCTTTAATAAGGGGGGGGTGTCACTCACGCAATATGGGAACACAGATAAATGGGGAAGGGGGAGGGGGTGCTCAGAGCACGTTAAATTCTCTCTCTCATTCTCTCTCTCTCTCTCTCTCTCTCTCTCTCTCTCTCTCTCTCTCACACACACACACACACACACACACACACACACACACACACACACACACACACACACACACACACACACACACACACACACACACTACAACACTACAACTGTCCAACATACAGGGGCCGTAAAGTGGTAAAACGGTCTTGAAACAGGGGATCTAAACGGTGGAGGGTGGGGGGGGTAAAAAAAAATAGGGGGGGGAGGGTAAACGCTAAAGTATGATGGGGAAGGGGTTGGGCGAGAGTGGCTGAGGACTAAGGCAGGGGTTGGGGACAGAGGCAGGGGTTGGGGACAGAGGCAGGGGTAGGCAGGGGTAAGTGTTGGGGAGGAGCGTAGGAGTAGGGTACGGGGAAGAGGGGGGGGGGGAAGAGAAGAGGTATGGTGGATAAGAATGGAGGTAGGAGAGGTCAGAGTTGGGGACCGGTAGGGGTAGGGATGGATGACAGGATAGGCGACGGGTTTGGGGTAAGGGTTGGGGTAAGGGTAGGGGTAGGGGACGGGTTTGGGGTAGGGGTAGGGGTAGGGGTAGGGGTAGGGGTAGGGGTAGGGGTTGGGATAGGGGGTTGGGATAGGGGAGGGGAGGGAAAAGAAGACAGGCACAGGGTCGGGGACGTGGACAGGGAGGGGGAGGGGGAGGGAAAGAGGGAGAGGGAGGGGAGGAGGGAGGGAAGGAGGGAGGGGAGGAGGGAGGGAAAGAGGGAAGGGGGAGGGGAAGAGGGAGGGAAGGGGGAGGGGAAGAGGGAGGGAAGGGGGGAGGGGAGGAGGGGAAAGGGTTCAAAAAGGGCACCTTACCAAAGATCTCTCTCAAGGGGCATGCAAGGGTACCGACCTTGGCGCTGGCGTTAGAGAACAAGGCAGGAGAAAAGGGAGGGGGGGCGCAAATAAAGGGGGAGGGAGCTGGAGCTCTAAAAAGTCTGGGCATAACTAAGAAGGGGGGTTTAACATGCAATACAAAACTAGTAGTAATTATACTAGTAGAGTATAATATAGTAGTAGTAGTAGTAGTAGTAGTAGTAGTAGTAGTAGTAGTAGTAGTAGTAGTAGTAGTAGTAGTAGTAGTAGTAGTAGTAGTAGTAGTAAGTATATTATACACTTATTAACATATTATACATCTTATGAACTAAAATATTAAATTAGGCACACTTTAACAAGTTATTATAAGGGGAAAACAGAAAAATTTACAAAAAAAATTAAGACTATAAAAACTAGCAGAGAAAAAAGTATGTACATATAAAAATACACATAAAAATGTCTATCAGTAAACCTGTGTACAGTTCATGCTTCATGCGAGCAGCAGAGAGTGCCCCCTGCGAGTGCCTGCGAGTGATTGACAGAGTGCCAAAGTGCCAAGACCCAAGAGGTGAAACACGCACACGCAGGTGGCACTCTCGCCCTGTAGCAGCTCAAGAACCATCTTAATTCTAGGACTAAGTAAACCAAGAAGGAAAAGGCAGTCATACATACTTGCATGCACGTATACGCGCACATAAATATATAGATACATACTTATACAGTACACATACTGCCATACATATACATACAAATACAAATATGCATACATCCAGTACACACACACACACACACACACACACACACACACACACACACACACACACACACACACACACACACACACACACACACACACCTCTCTCTCTCTCTCTCTCTCTCTCTCTCTCTCTCTCTCTCTCTCTCTCTCTCTCTCTCTCTCTCTCTCTCTCTCTCTCTCTCTCTCTCTCAATCACCCGCCCACATATTCACACAACAGAAAGACGCAGAAAAATGAGAAAAGAAAAGAAAAGATAAAAAGATCGTCTGTCACACCAGAACACAAGGTAAACATCGAACTGAGAAAGAAACGGAAGAGATGGATAGAAAGATATATGGAGAGAGAATAAAAAAAAATGGATATCAGTCCACAGTTGCAGTTCTTTCCTCTATTCATACAATAACCTCCCCCCCCCCCGCCCTCAAAAAAAAACGCTTTCTCTCCCCTAAGCCTCGTCCGGCACAGTGCCACGTCGAGGTAAAGCACGGCACCCTGCCCTTGCACCCTTCACCTATTCACCCTTTCACCCCTTGGGCCCTCTAGTCCTCCCATCCCCCCCCTACCTTCACCCTCCCCCTGCCCTTCCGAGTACAGAGCAGGTGGTCCCGTCCGCTAACACCTGACATTGTTGACTGCTTCTATCTATCTATCTATCTATCTATCTATCTATGTACCTACCTACTTACCAACCCCTTCATATATCTATCTATCTACCACTTTCCATCTACCTGTCTACCTCTATCCACTTACTTAACTCTCTCTCTCTCTCCGTCTCTCATATGATCTTTCTTTCCACCATTCCCCTAACCCTCCCCCCTCCCCCCTCCCCCCTCCCCCCCAACCGCGAATACCCAACCCGGACCTTACCCAAACACCCCCGTGGCACACCGAGAGTTTCTAATCTCTCGGAGCTGTTTGCACAAGCTCCTTTATACGGTGATTTGCATTTTCATTCTCCCTCCTTATGCCGGCTCAGATCGCACTCCCTCCCCTCCCCTCCCCTCCCGTCCCGTCCCCTCCTTTCCTACGTCGTCCCTTTCTTTCCCTCTCTCCCTCTCAATATCTTTCCCCGTCGCCTCTGTCTCCTCCCTCATCCCCCGTCGCCTCTTTCCCCCGTCGCCTCTTTCTCCTCCCTCTTTCTCCTCCCCCTCTTTCCTCCTCCCCCTCTTTCTCCTCCCCCTCTTTCTCCTCCCCCTCTTTCTCCTCCCCCTCTTTCTCCTCCCCTTCCCTCTTCTCCCCTCTTTCTCCTCCCCCTCTTTCTCCTCCCTCTCTTTCTCCTCCCCCTCTTTCTCCTCCCCCTCTTTCTCCTCCCCCTCTTTCTCCCCCTCTCTTTCTCCTCCCCCTCTTTCTCCTCCCCCTCTTTCTCCTCCCCCTCTTTCTCCTCCCCCTCTTTCTCCTCCCCCTCTTTCTCCTCCCTCTTCCCCCGTCGCCTCTTTCTCCTCCCCCTCTTTCTCCCCCCTCTTTCCCCTCCCTCTTTCTCAATCATGGCGGTGAGCGTGACTGCGATCTCACCACACAATCGGCTCCTGCTCTCCCTCCGTCACTGGACCCAAGGATTATGCCATATATATAGGTTATAATACATGGGGAGGGGGAGGGGGGAGGGGGGAGGGGGGAGGGGGAGGGGGAGAGGGGGAGGGAGAGGGAGAGGGAGAGGGAGAGGGAGAGGGAGAGGGAGAGGGAGATGGGGAGGGAGATGGGAGAGGGAGAGGGAGAGGGAGAGGGAGAGGGAGAGGGAGAGGGAGAGGGAGAGGGAGAGGGAGAGGGAGAGGGAGAGGGAGAGGGAGAGGGAGAGGGAGAGGGAGAGGGAGAGGGAGAGGGAGAGGGAGAGGGAGAGGGAGAGGGAGAGGGAGAGGGAGAGGGAGAGGGAGAGGGAGAGGGAGAGGGAGAGGGAGAGGGAGAGGGAGAGGGAGAGGGAGAGGGAGAGGGAGAGGGAGAGGGAGAGGGAGAGGGAGAGGGAGAGGGAGAGGGAGAGGGAGAGGGAGAGGGAGAGGGAGAGGGAGAGGGAGAGGGAGAGGGAGAGGGAGAGGGAGAGGGAGAGGGAGAGGGAGAGGGAGAGGGAGAGGGAGAGGGAGAGGGAGAGGGAGAGGGAGAGGGAGAGGGAGAGGGAGAGGGAGAGGGAGAGGGAGAGGGAGAGGGAGAGGGAGAGGGAGAGGGAGAGGGAGAGGGGGGGGGGGAGGGGAGAATGGGCAGAGAGGCGCTCCATAGTTACAAAAGATGTGAAAGGAAGATGTTTCGATAAATAGATAGACAAAGATAGATAGAAGAGATGATAGATAAAAAGATAGACAGATGAAATGATAGATATAAAGATAGACAGATGAAATGATAGATATAAAGATAGACAGATGAAATGATAGATATAAAGATAGACAGATGAAATGATAGACATAAATACAAGAATCAAACATACAAAACTGCAAGATACACATCGCAGACACACGCACGTACACAAAAGGAATTCACTAAGTAAATACAGTTAGATAAGTTATTTCAACATTACAAAAGGTTAGGGTCTAGCCACTCTTTTATACCATGCATTCATCTCCAGACAGACAGATATAGACAGACACAGACACAGACACAGACACACACACACAGACACAGACACAGACACAGACACACACACACACGTACATGTACACCGTGTAGAAGTACATGTACGCACAAACACACACAAGCGCTGAGCATTCTATGTACATTCACCTAACACACCAACAAGCAAAGACAAATAAATGTTTTTGCAATCTCGCAACGACGACAAGGACAAAGTACATAAACACGACACAAACTCTGTCATTTTCTCGTGTTGAAACCTTTTTAAATAGTTTATCATATCTGAACAATAAATTTGATGATTAGGCATCGATCCTTGCAACCGAATTCGAGAATGGGCTTCTAAAAACAGCACACACAAAAAAATAAATTAATAAATATGAAAAAATGACTATAAATCAACAACTACATGAATATGAAGTACATCTCTATCTAAAAAAAAATCAGAAGCAAAGCCTTTACAATCAAAAAGCTCAACTCGGATCTGGCTGAAGGACCGACGATGGAAACAAAAAAAAATCTTTAAAAAAAAATAAAAATAAAAATAAATAAAAAAAAAATCAATCAATAAATTATATATATATATATAAGTGAAGTTCGCGACAGTGGGCCCCGCGACATGTACTTACGGACGCTCCCGCTTTGGCCTTGGAGGCGGCCACGTAGGCAAGGTACTGGATCACTTTCTTGGTGTTCTCCGTCTTTCCGGCGCCTGATTCACCGGTACACAGGATGCTCTGGTCCTCGCGGT